GACTGGTATTTCCTTTCCTCCTGGGTAAAACAGCTACTCCTGGTGTTAGAGGTGAGGGTGGGTTTCACTTACAAGCATAGATCATACCTCATTCTGCATGTGTGCACAAGTGGAACATGTATAAAGCTGCTTTCCTACATCATGTATCAGTGGCATAGGTCTGTCAGATGACTTGAAAAGATCCTAGTTCCAAACAGGTGACTTCACTGTAGTTTGTAAGCACAGCTGGACATTATTGCTGATACTATTGGATGTTCTGGATACTTTCAGCTGTGCTGAAACAAGGAAACATGATGGATCTTACACATCCTTCTGTATAAATAGCTAGCTGGTCAAAGATACGGGTTTTCTGAGGAATAATTTAACTCATAAATCAATACAGCATTATTAATTGAGGACCATGAAAAAGCAGCCTTATAGCAAGTGTAAAGTTCAACTGCAGTTATTAGTGGAACTGATAAATTGCCCAGCTTCTAAGTGAAAATCCTTGTTGCTGTGAGTCATTATTGATGAGAGTTGGTCACACTTGCCACTCTCTTCTAATTTCTCCCTACTGGGTAAGACATATTTAGGACTCGGTTTGAATAGAATGTTCTGCTTTGGTTTTGATTCATGTACAGTGCTCGTGATCTTGGGAGTGCTGAACAAATGTTGCCCAGTTAAAGTTTGTGTTTGCATAGGTGATGTTTATTCTATTGAAAAGTGGTTTGTCTGCAGACTGGTTTGAACAGTTGTGCCTGTTAGTCCTTGACACTGCCATTTAAAGTACTTTCTTTCATTTTCTTGGAGGAGTTGACACACAAGGTGTTCAGCCTGTCAGTCCCTTAAAATTCATATCAGTATAACTGAATTATACAGTGCAGAGTGTGAGAAACCTAGTGCTGGTAAAAGCAAATATTCAGTATTAATTTTTTTCTGATTGTGCAGAATATTCTGTTTATAGCCAAGTTACAAGCTTAGCAAGCAGCTCAGGCACCAAACTGAGTTGTCTTCTTCTCATTTCCAGTAGTAGGATGCATCCAAAAGTAGAACTCTGATAATAAATCTTTCTTACACCATTTAGAGAATGCATCTGTGACAGATGTATACCTTTCTGTGGGGTTTAAATACAATTTTGGGAAAAAATCTCAGCTGCTCATGTAAATAAGAAACTGACTGCCAAGTGCTGACAAGAGATTGATAACAATAATTAAAAGGCACAGGAATTTAAAGATGGATGTCCTTGCAGTGGTTTTATTGCAGTCAGTGTATGGGAGTTCTGCCTGGCTGGACTGCACACCCTGCAGTGCTCAGTGAAACACAGATGATGTGGTTGGGCACTGGTTTTTAAGGGAAGTCTGAGCTGCCTGGACCCACGTTCTGTGTTCCAGAATGCAGTTCCACAAGTTGCTGCAGGTTCCTGTTGAGTTACCTGAGTGATGTAAACATGGAGGAACTTGCTCTTTGCAGCTGGGCAAGGAAAGAAGTGTTCTGTGGCATGTAAATACAATCCTTAGCCTCTAAACACGAGTGGAGGTAAGAAAAGATGGAATCAAAGGCATCAGTCATTCTCTGGGAACAGGAAGCAAGGCTGGAATGGAGGAGCTTTTCACAGTGAGATGTTTGTGAACACACTTTCTTTCTAAAATCACTGTCACAGGAAAAGATTCTGTGTTGCTTCTCCCTCCACTCTACCTTGATAATCCTGAAAATTAAAAGGTAATGGCCATTTCTGAGGGAAAATAAGCCTAGAAGAGTACAGTATTATCTAGGGCAACAAAGCAAAGGGTGCAGGAAAAGTCAAGTCATCTTTAAAAATATATTAGGAAAAGAAAAACAACTAAAGCAGTGCTTTCCAACCAGTGGTTTATATTTCATTTGGCTTGAATTTTTTTTTCAGCTTATGAAACAAGAGAGGGGAATAGCTGCTTTTTGTGCTATTCCTGGCGTCCTGTTACTGCCCTCTGCTTAATTTTGAAAAACGCAGGGTCAAAGGAGAGCTTTTAGTAGGTGATACTAAGTCAAGACTAAACATAAACTTGGCAGAAATATTTGCATAAGATTGCTCAGAAGATCTCCTGACACTTGTTTTTTTCTGGAGTCTTTTTTTTCTTCCCCAGCCTGCTGGGGAACCTCAGGTATGGCATATAAGTAGTTTAAAAATGATTGTATGGAACCAGACAAAAAAAACACCCAACCCACCACATTAATTTATATGTGATTGATGTGTGTAATTACATATAAATAGAGACACTAGCACATGATAATAGAGAGTATTTCTTGGTGCTGTTTGAAAAAGGATTTGTTAATTCTAATTTACAACATGGAATTTTTAAAGCAAGGGGAAATGCCTGCAACTTTTTTAATTTAAAGAGTTTTTACAGTAGTTTAACCAAATATCATGGCCATCATGGCTTTGGAAGTTCTTTTTAATAGTTTCAGGTGTGAAACGTGGAAGTTCTAGTTTTACATTTACTTCTTACTGAATAAGAGGATTTTGGGAAGTATTTCCTTTACCTTTTCTTAAATTTTGCAGTTGCACATGTGTCATTTTCTCTAAATTAATGTGTTGTTTACCCAGGCCAGTTACTCATTTGTTAATGGGCATTTTTTAAGAGTCTGTATCTGAAGAGATTTTGTTTTCACCTGCAGTAAGCATTCTCTGTTACTGGCTGGAGTCTGGAGAGTCCTGGTTATTCTGTAGGAACTGCAGAGTGCAGGTCTGCACTGCTCTGCCAGTTTGTGATGTGTGGTTAGGTATCTCAGGAGAACTGAACTAGTGTGGGGTTTTTGTTTGTTTGTCTTAAGTCAGCTGTAAGGATAAATTACTTTCTGACAGAACTGTGCAGACTCTGTTCTCAACTAAGTCTCCCCTTTTCAGGGTCAGTCCTGCCTGAAGTTTCAGCTTTCACTGTCCTGCACAGCCTATCTGGTTTTCCTTGCCTGGTGAAAAATAAGACTTGTACTTCTGGCTGGTGGAGACAGTGCTTTTTCTTTTGTCTTTGCTGAGGGTGGAACCTCCTTAGAATCACTGAGGTTGGAAAGACCTCAGTGTCTGTAAGGTCATCAAGTCCAACCACAAACCCAACATGACAAGCCTGCCACTAAGCCGTGTCCCCAAGTGCCACATCTGTGTCTGTGGTGACTTCACCTCTGTCCTGGGGAGCCTGTTCAATGCTTGCCAACCCTTCTGGTAAAGAAATGTTTCCTGGTACCCAACCCAAACCTCTCCTGGTGTGACCTGAGGCCATTTCCTCTGGTCTTGTCACTTGTTAGGTGGGAGAGGAGACTGACCCCACCTTGCTACAACCTCCCTTCAAGTATTTGTGGAGAAAATTAATATGTTCTCTCAATACTTCTTCTAAATGATTGCTAAAATAATAAAATATTAGTGCTCTTAGCTGTTAGGTAGAATTTTTCATGTTAAAGATTTTACAAGTATGTAAAGGCTGTATCTAACTACTCTGGCATTATTGTACCTGGAGTAGTCCAGAGTCAGGGATTTCTTTAAACATTTTTATTGCAGTATATAATCTGGTTAGTGTTGATCAAAAAGGGTTAATTTAGATGCATTTTCCTTTTACAAGGTGAGGGGATTTTTTTTGCACACTATTCTGAGTAATTAAAAGACAACAATTACTGCTGTTGTGTTGCTAGTTGGTAGAGTGGCAAAATACCTATTTTAGTGTCAAATGACTTGTAATGTTATAACTAAATATGTGTCAGGAGAAGAATCCATTGCAGAAAGGAGCTTCTGCCTTTGATTTCATGCCTGATGTTACTAAAACCATACACAAGTATTCAGGTTGAGATTTTCCTTCCAAAAACCTTCCATGCTGATCTATTGCAGGCTTCTGAAAAGTTGGTCGGTGATGTTCAACACTAGAACCACAGGGATTCTTAAAAACAATTGTACTTTCTCTGCATCATGGATAAAGTAGTTCATTTTCTTTGAAAGTAGGTTAGAGAATGGAAAGGCTCAAAGAAAAAAGAAATTAAGACAGTTTACAGATTTTTTTTTTAATGGAATTCAGTATGGGAGAGAGAAGAAAGGAAAACTCAGTTCCAGTGTGATCCTGTTTGGATGGGAAAGAATGGCTGTGTCTAAATTACCAAGTAGTTCAATGCAGAAGGAGTCAGATGAAAGCAGTGCTGTGTCTGACACAGGTTTGGAATGTTTTACCTGTGGCTGTGTCTGCATTGCATGGCTGAGTGCAGGAAGAACTGCTGGGTTGGTTGGTTCAGAAGGATCAAGGGTGCAGATCAAGGCACTGAAACTGCTCCACAAGCCAAACCAGCCCTCAGTGAGTGTGGCTGATGAGGAGTTTTAATTCAAAACTCTGCTACTGCTCTGAACTAAAACATTATTTAGATCCTGGCAAGAAAGCCCAAGTGCCATTGTTTGTCCATCATTTATCAGGAATGGGAGAGATTGGAAAGCAAATGCCTGTGGTCAGGCTTTTGATGACAACAGTTGTCTTACTAAAATGAAGCTGAGCTTATCTGTGAATTTTAAACTGATGAGATGCATTTCATGAGTACAGTATGCTGGTTTTGTGCTTGGTTCAGAATTTAACTGCTTTTATATCAAATGATGCAATGAAATTGAAATAAATAATCTTTTGGCTGCAGCAGGGGATGACAGAGGACATGGGAGTAATTCCCTTTGAGTTAAAAGAAGATTATTTCAATTAGCATGAAGAATGTCTAGGAAAATGAGAATTGATATCTTGCAGAGGGGCAGGAAAAAACTATGTTTTGCTTGCATTATGGATGTTGAATTTTGAGCAATAGCACTTGACAAAGTAAAAAAAAAATCATTATTAAAAATCTAATGTAGATGAAAACTTGTCTGACAAGACTTTCCTATAAAGAACTAGTATAAAGTAATTAATCTGAAATAGTTTATATCTGTTTTATCATTATATGTTTATTTACATACCCTTCTGGAACTATTTTCTTGTTTGGTTGGGCTTGTGTTTTTTAACATGTGCAATATTTTTTTTTTTTTTCTAATGCAGTCCTTCCAGGGAAGCCAGGGACGAGCCTACCTCTTCAATTCTGTGTAAGTATGTGGTTATGGTTCTGCACACCCTGCAGAGTGTAACTCTGTGCTGCCCAAAGGGAAAGCAGTAGGAATTAACATAGCTGTACTTTGCCCTGTTCTTTTTAATGCTGGCTTTACTCACCAGCAGTAGTTATTAAAGAGCCACTGGGCTGATTCTGAAGCATTCCTTTGCACATACACGAGTTTATCTTCTATTTTAAGGAATTCTGCTAAGAGCTGAAAGATTAGGGGAGTGTGTTAATGTGAAATTGCTTTTGTCTATGTAATGGTAGCTGTCTCGAGAGGAGCTGCCATTCTGAGATACTCCAGAAGTCACAAGATATTGAGTGACTGTAAATTTTCTTTAGACAACTCTACTGTGGTCTAAAGAATTTCCCAGCCTGACAGTTGGATACATTTACAGGTTAATGTTTCAGTAAACTTGGTACATCTTTAATGACCTTGAATATTGCAAATGTGCTAGAGGCAAAAGGTCTCTGTGATCTTATCAAGCCTAATATTTGCAATCTTAGTCATGTCCTTCCCTTGATAGGCTCTTTGCATTTGTTAATGGGTGTATTTTAAGTTTTTTACATGCAGGATTGAATTTTTGTCTTTATTTTTCAGCAGTTTTTTGTGTTGCAGCATTTTGAAAAAGTTGCAGTTGAGTGTCCTGGTCTATTTTTGACCAGGATAATGGAACTGTAACTGCAAAGGATTTGATTGCAGATCCTTGAGATTCTTTTAGTATGTAGTCCTTCACTGATAACTTAGGATTTCTGCTATAATTCTAATAGGAAGAATCTGGTACTACAGCAGCAAAACTGGCAAAATTTTGCTCATATCTAAAACTGTCTAAAAACTTGGTTTAGTCTTGCTTCATGTTTTCTGCATAGACTCATTTGTGGAAAAACTGGCTTGATGCAGTACTTAAAGGGATGTTTTGTTTTGAAATTGCTGTTTGTTCATCAGAGCTTAGTCTGCTGATCTGTAGCAAAGAAATATTTATGAGGCTTTTCTCTTGCTGCTATTTTGGAGCTGGTTCTAAATTCAGCTGTTAGTGCTGATTCACTGGTACAGCCTTCCATTAGAGAGGTCTCAAATAGTTTTTGAAGTAAAGCCTGAAACTGTAGAAGTGTCCAGTTACTGTGCAGTGTTCTGTTCTCTGGAAGTTTAACTATTTAGCTTATCTTTGTTGCTGGCAGTAAGTGACTGTCACCAACAGTGACACCACAGCCACTTAAAAACAAAAAACAAACCCCTTTTTTCTTCCTGTTCTTCTGCTCAGTGTAACAGAGGAAGTTACTTCTGCAGCATTGAATAACTTAGGCTTTTTTTTAACTACTTTTCATCTGCAGGAGAAAAGCTGGGGAACAGTAAGAAAAGAAACACACTCATCTGTTAACATAATTTCTCCCCTTTTTTCAGGGTAAATGTGGGCTGTGGTCCAGCAGAGGAGAGAGTTCTTCTGACAGGTTTACATGCTGTAGCAGATATCTATTGTGAAAACTGTAAAACCACTCTTGGATGGAAATATGTAAGTAATATACTTAAATCTTCAATAAAGGTTTGCATGTTGAAGCACAGATGTTTGAGTAGCCACTGAGTAACATCTTTGCTGATAGTTTATGTGAGTTAGCTCTGGTGCTTTTGTGTACATCAGGCTCTAATGTAGTCTTGCTTCCTTGCATCTGCAGAAATGTTTTAGCAGATAATAATTTTATTCTGAGCTGCAAATCAAGCATAAGGCATGAGCTATAGGTGTTATTACAGCTGTCTAATATTTCTGTATTTGATAATCTTTTTGCAAGACTCTCAAGCACATGTGCACTAAACCAGGTGGGAGAAGTTGTCAAAGTGAGTCTGTAGTGTCATGGACTGCAAAAGTTGGTGATACAGCAAAAATATTAATTCCAATAAACAGTACTGAGCATATTACTCTGTTTACAAATAATGTGGAATTGATTCTGTTGTTTGAAAATAAACCTATGCACTTGCAGCTGTGTTGCAAGTTTGTGGCTTTGAAAATCTGAGATTCTGGGTAGGATTTTCAATTTTCAATGATTCAGTGTAGTTTCAGATCTTAGGAATTTTCCTAATGCCTTTCCTGTGATGATGAATATAATGGAGAGCTTTTGAAGAGGTTTGCATTCCCTATTTTCATTACTTCTGGGAATAAATAAATAACATGTATAACATGCCATTTCATAACTTTCACTTTAAAAAGCATTAAAATTCCCTAAGCAGAGAGAGAACATAATCAGTTCTACAGCAAGATATATGCAGTAGATCTGCTGATTCCACTTAGGAATCTGCTGATTCCACTCAGGAGAAGTTTGCTTCTGTTTCCTTCTCAGGGCTTTTCAACCTTTCTTTTTTCCCCTCCCTCCCCTTACTTGGTATAACCAATATGGGTTGTTAACTGTAATGGCTCCTCATTTGTATTTTTACTGAAAGTTTGATGTTTAAAACACTTAATTTCCTGAACTTAATTCCGTGTTGTTTTGATTTTTTTCAATTTTTTTTTCCTTTCCAGGAACATGCTTTTGAGAGCAGTCAGAAATACAAAGAAGGAAAATTTATCATTGAACTTGCCCACATGATAAAAGACAATGGCTGGGAGTGAACCACAACCTTTTTCCTTCTGTTTGGACTATATTCTGTGGGACAGGCTTTACAAAGACTAATGCAAAGTAAAGGAAGAGCTTGGCTAGAGTGGCCCTGAGAATATCACTGAACTCTGAAACCTCACAAATGAGTAGTGTAGTGTAAGTGGCTATTTCAGGCCATGTTTGCCTTTTCTCCTTGTGTAAGTTCCCTCTTTTTGTACGTGTATTATTGTGTGAACAGTTGTTTTGGAACATTTTGGATGACCTTTTTCTAAACTCTCTCAGACTAGAGAAACAGTTCACTAATTGAAAACAGATTTTACTGGTTAGCATCTCTCTCTGACCTATGCCTTTAATGCTACTTCTGCTGTGCATGCTTCTTGCCTAAACACCTACACTCCAGTCCTGTAGAAGTGCTGTCCCTGAGCAGTCTGAAAGAATGTATGGGATGGGGTGCTTTTTTATATGTAGCAATTTCTGATGTGTTTGGCAGTGAAGAGGATGCAGTATTGTAGTTATTAATTTCTTTTTTCAAATTGAGTGTACCACAACCTACGTACATCTTGTAGGTGAATTGGTTAAAGGTACAGTGCTCACTTCAAAAAAAGATTTCAATTGCACTGACTGAAGTTAGCAGGTCTCAAGTTGTTAGGAAAGGTTATGCCAGAGACTTGGTATCTTAATGAAAAACATAGAAAGATTTTAAATCAATAATGCTATAGAATATGTTCTTTTAAGACCAACATATTCCCTAAGGAGTTTGCTGGATAAAAAATTTATAAAACTATAGCTTGCAAGATTAAAAAGACAGAAAAATATATGCATTTTCTATTTTGAAAAAAAAAATTAGTTGGTATATTAGGAAAAAAACAAAGTTTTGGTACTGTACCTTTGCCAGTAACAGGGACTTGTGCATCAGTGAAGTTTTATGGCTGGTTCCATGTAACTGTATAGTCCTAATGCACTGGACAAAGAGGTTGATGTCAAGGAAACTTGTTGAAGTCTTCTGCTTCTGCTACATTTGAACAAAAATATTTATTTTTGTGAGAAATGGCCAGAGCCTATGACATGAAAATTAATATAGTACCTGTAGGAAAAGGAGTAATAAGAGGGAAGGGAAGTTGGACTTGTTTTTTCATAAAATAAAATAGTAAGATAGTTTTTAAAATTTGGGGGTGGGGAAAGGGTTTCCCGGTTTGCTGGCTAAATCATCCCCAGGTATCTTTTTATAATAAAAGTTTATATGAAACTCACCTTCTCTTTTGTTCTCATGCTGTTTCTTTAATAGAATCAGTTAATGAGAGAAACTTCTGGAAAGTATATGCACAATATGAGCTGTTGGTATCTGTGTATGCAAACTGAGCAACTGTGAAAGAAACGCTCTACATAAATTTGCTAACTTAATTTTCAAATTAAACAGTCTCTACAGACTTTTTGTATGTTAATCCTTTTACTGTTTGAGGACAAACTGTTTGATAAAACCCCTTTAACACTACATAAGTCCTATAACTGAACAATACAGAAGCCTTGCAATATGAAATCCCTTTCTCTCAATAACAATTCTAATATGGCACCTGTGAAATGAATCACAGGGGCTGCTGCTGCTGTTCTGTTTTTGGGAATCTCTCATAGGCTTTCTGAACTCTGCTGCACTTTAGAAATTGTCAGACATGAAAAATTATGCCAATGGGTAGGGGCAATACGAATCTTTACAACCAGCTTTCCAGTGTTTTTGTGGGGAGGAGTGAGAGGAGCATTCTCCCAGGTGTACACATTCTCTGTGATGCAGGCTGGCTAAACTGCCTGCCACATGTTGTCGTGATTGATACCCATGAACTAAAACTGTAAGAATTAGAGAAGTAGTTGAAGCTGTTGGGTTTCAGTCCAGAGGCCTGAGGTGGTACAGTTACATTCAACCTGGACTTTGTGGCTCACACATTGCTACTTTGTGTTCACATCAGGTCTCATTTTAACAATGCCATTGATGCAAGATGGGCTTGGCTGTTGCCTGTCTCGTGCTCTTTTTGACCTGGAGTTCTTTGGGATTTTGTTTTCCACTTTGTTGCCAACAAGGAAGGCATTAAAACTTCTATCAGCAAAAAGTTTGTGTTGGCTTCTAAGTCCTGTTGCAATGTTGATACTTGTGAACAGCTTGTGTGAGGTTTGTGTATCTTTGGGCTTTTCTTATTTCCTGGCTGCAGACTTGCTGAGGCAGTGCACTGGACTGAAGGCAAAAGTAATGGCTGCTTTTCCAGAGAGAGTTGAAATTACAGAAAATATATAAAGTATTAAAGATTTTTCTCTCCAAAATTGGGGGTTTGGCTAGCTCTTGTTAGTAAGCTAATGCTGTCTCTAACACAATCTTATTCTTAGAAATTCAACCTCTTTCTTCAGTGCATTATTTATATTTCAAACTGGACATTTTCACCAAAACCTTAATTAACTTTGATGCCAAAGGTTGAGACTTCAAGTGCTTAGCACATAGAGCTTCAGACTGCTGGCATAAAGAGTTAATGACCTATATGTGATGTTTATGGCTTTTAAGAGAACCAAACAAAGCAATATTCGTTTTGGTCTTTTATTAAGAGTGGATACTTAGAAGGAATAAAGAGTAGAACTAGTACAGAATCACTATTTTATGCTGCCATGTAACAATTCTTGAGGCTTATTCTTTTGAGGGAATATGTGAATTTTCTTCCCACGTTGTTTGGCAGCATCAGTAATTATTTTCTCCCCTCATAAAGATATAAAGAATTCTTGTTATTGGTTTTGGTGAAAGTTGAATCCAGATAGCAATGACTGCTGGCTGATGTGAAGAGGTCAGTCTGGTCACTGAACCCTCCAGCAGTCATTTGAAAGAAAAATAAACTTACTTGAAAAAAAAAATTTTACTAAAGCATTTTCCCTCTAACCAATTTTTGTAATATATTAAAGATTATATTTAAAGTTTGTATGTGTTTGCTCTGGGCAAGTTTACTTCCCCTCCAACTTGAGAGCACTTTTGTTACTTGTACTGGTTATTTTTGGTCTTAACATTTATTTTATATTTTGTTTTTTATAAATTGTAACAAAAAGCTTTTGTGAACCTTTGTTTCTTGCTGGCTCTTTCTTGGACCAAATGAACTGACTATGAGCTGGCTTAGAAGAAATGTTCATTGGGATGCATAGGAATTTGCTAGCAAAAATGTACATGTATTGAAAGTTTTTTCCACTGAACCTCTAAAGCGCCATGCCTGTCCCAAAGTAATTAATCATAATTTGGTGTGACTTTAGTCATCTGACCACACATTCTCTGTCTAGGTCCAAAATAATGGTTGTAACAATGGTTTTCCAGGACTGAGTCTGCCTCCAAACCCTAGAGTTTTTCTTTGGCTGGTTGCTTTAAGTACCTTTTTGATTACTAAAAGGCAATGCTGCCATGTATAAAAATCCTGTCACGTTGCAAACTTGCTGTGAAAAATCAGCTGCAAAATTTGGTGAGGGATGGCTCAGCCTAACCACTCCTGCTGTATGCTTTTAGCAGCCTGGTAATCTTAATTTTAACTGCCAGTTAAAAGGGCCAGGATCTGAGTTTCCCTTGTTGGCTGTAAGCTGTACAATGGCAAACTGTGTGAAGGAAGATTGTTATGGCTCCATCTTAACGGCCCAGCAGAGTGACCAGTGTGGGTGGTGTGCCTTTGTGCTTGCAGTCCTTGGCAGAGGAGAGACATTTCTTTGAGTTAAAAACTGGCCTCAGAGGTTCTGACCAGGTCCTCACTGCACCCATAACCAAAGGTTATCTGTATTTCCCACTGGTGGATCAGTGAAGGGTTCCCCAGGCTGGGTGCCAGGGTTGGTGGCCATGCACTTCCCTCCAAGGGCTCCTCCTGCCCGCTCATCTCAGCAGCCAGGTTGCAGCAGCAGTGACCTCCAGACTCACAGACCAAACTTCACTCATCTCCAGCCTTGGATATTGGCCATGAGAGGAAGAAGCTGTCAAATTATTGTTAAACTTCTTGGACACTTTATTGGACTTCACTGAGACTCATGTTAAGCCAACCGGCAGTATAAACACTTACTGGAAAAGGAACAGATGCTTCAGAGGTTTCTTTTAAAAGGACTGTTACAAGTGGTTTAAGGTCTAAAGCATGAGTCATAAATGGCAGTTGAGTTGTGCCTCATTGTTTCTTAAACTCTTTAAAATGCTTTCTTTTACAGGTGACATGGCTGTGTTGCTGTTTTGTCCTTGCAATACTGTACATCATTTGTTGTTTCACTATACTGTATCTATTCAAGGTATCACAATAAAAGCTTTCAATTGTTTTGTTGGGTTACATGTTGGTTTTGTGCTATCTTTTCTTGCTAATTGAGTTCTCAGGCTTTATCCTCTGGTAGGGCCAGAGAGAGAAGGCAATGTTCTTAGCTGCTCTTAAAAACTCATAATTGGGTTGAATCTGATTTTTATGTGGTTTTAGGACTGCCACAAAAAATTTGGGGTTTTTCCTTTCAGAAATCTTTCCAAAATACAGAAATTTGTGTTGCTACTCTTAGTGCTTTTGCTTATTTTGAGCCAATTGTGGAACCTCTGCATAATGAGGGTTAGTCTAGACAACCCCCAGAATGAATCCTGAGAGGAACTGAAGTGTGGGTGAGCTTTTTGTTGTGTCAGCTTCATCAGCTGTAGACCTGAGGAGCACCCTGAGCACAGCACTTCCTCTGTTCATTCTGCTTTGGCTGGGAGGAACTCCTGCAGCTTCTCCTGCAGATCAGATTATTGGTCTTGTCAGTGATATGATCCCTCTGGACTGCCTGAGGCTCAGAGTGAAGTCATTCAATAATCCATCACTGCATCTCACAAAGAGACAGGGATGCTCTTCATGCAAATCACACACAGTATTTCCATCTTGAGAAAATGGAAGATAGCCAGCCACCCTTTTTCTTATTCAAGTGCTGTCTTAGGGGCATGAAATAAGGATCCTTCCAGATCTGAAAAAACCCCAAATCCTAGGGATAAAATGGCATTTTATGTGAGAGGTATGGTCTTCCTTGTACAAAAACTTATGTTTTGACAGGATATAATTGTAGTAATAAAGATCCAAATAGCAAGTATCTTTGGGATATGAGATGTTCATAGTAACATCCCACTATATTTTAGTGTATCAGAGGGACTATAAGAACACCAAATGTCAGCAGCTGGGTTACCAGAACAATTTTGGTAATGTGAACTCCAGTGTTCTGTCTTACCAGCTGGAAAACACCAGGATATCTGACTTCCAGATAGACAAGGATGGGCAGATGCCTCATCCAAAGCTTGAGAAGCTTCTATGAGATGTCTTTTATACCTGTAAAATTTCAGTAATTGGGCAGTGGTGTAGTTTGGGGTTCTCCCCCATGCCCCAAGTGCTGCAGCTGTGCCTGGGGACAGCAGTAGGTCTGTACTGCCGGAGTCCAGGTAGCCTGAACTGGAAAACAGCCACAACTGGAGCTGAGCTTATCCTCTGCACAGGACTCCAGCTGGGTCACTGCCCATGTGAGATTCTTTCCACTTTTGTCTCTTCCTCTGCTCCCTGCCCTTGGCTCTGCCCCAGATGGGTCCAAGCAGGGAGTGAGCACCTGTGCTGCTGCTGGCACTCACCTCCAGCAGGCACAGCAGCTGTGCATTAACTGAGGCTGGACAAAGTAGTTCCTGGCTGTGAAGCAGCTCTGCTGAGCCATGATGAGCATTAACTGTTTCTCCTCTAGCAGAGGCTGAGCTGTTCTCAGGGTTTGGCTCAGTCATTTCTACAGTATTGCTGAGTAAGATTTGAGCTGAGGTGCTCTGTGATCCTGGTAGCAGTTTAATCTATGCTAACCTGATTGCCTGAAGATTTTACCAAGTAAAGATCACTCTAGAAAGCAGACAATACAGGTTTTTCAGTGTTTAATGAATTAATGAGTAGATTTTTCATGGTCTTGATTTCTGTATTTTAATAATAAGCATAGCTTAACTTACTTTATTGCCCAAATAGACTTTAGTGATTTCTTGTTAAGGCAAAAACAATGGCAGAGCCAAACTAGCTCTTTATTCAAAATGGAGTTTGCATTCTGACATTAAAACCATGTACATGTATGCAAAGTCCACTCTGGCATGGAATATCATGGCTTGCCCTGTACCTGTAGGAAGGGTTGTGAAGGTTATTTAATCTTCAGAACATCTTTTTGACATGATTAGCTATGATCATCTGCTTTCTTTTACACCTGATAGAAGTTAAATTAGTTTTACAACCTGAGCAAAACCTTCCAGTTTGGGACCCAGCACTGATGACAGAGCAGCAAGGCTGTATTGGGTGTCTGAAATGTTTTTCTTATGTTTCAAATGTTGTTGAGTTAAAACTCCAGTAGATTAAACTGCCTGATTAGGGTAAAGGTTTTGAGATGTTTTTAGCTGTTGGTTGAGTGGCACTAATAGC